GTGGGGTTGTGAGGACCCTAAGACATGACCAGCCGGAAGTAAAAAAATCTCGATGGTTCCCTGATGGGTGAAAAAAATCTTCCGAGCGGCTTGATGGAGAGCCTGCTGGTCTGTCTGCCTATGCTAATAGGGTGTCTGTACATAGCTTCCTCAGTGTTGTTCGTTGGATCCCGTGCTTCGTTTGTTTCCTGTCCAGTGCCCGTTGCACCTGGAAAAGAAAACAAGACTGCTGAGAACCTTGTCAAGAAAAATGTACCAAATTAGCGTTTTTTACAAAAAATGAAGTGCATCTACTATACAGTAAAATAATGTAAAGTTCAAAATATCGGGAAAAAAAAGATCTAATTTAATTTCATGTACGGTTATAGGAAAAATATCATTTACTTGTGTTAAATGATGCAACATAAAAAAAATTGATGTGTCACTCAGTTATGTGAAATAGGTGTGAAGGTATTCTGGGAATCTAACGTGACGTCCAGAACGCGTTTTCTTAGAGTTATCGACCGAAGTTTCGGTGGCTTTCGCCGTGCTAGGGAGTTCTTCGAAGACTGAAGTAGATTCAATAACTTGTGAATTATCGGGTACGTTTAGCTCCAGGCTAATGGGGTTACCTTCCAAGTAAGCTGGTTTCAGACGGTCGATACTGACGGTGTCTTCGCGGCCTTTTTTGTCTAAAACGAAGAATTTATCCATACGTTTAATCACTTTATATGGTCCGTCATACGGGGGTTCTAGAGGACGACGTACCGAGTCGCGACGAACAAATACATGTGAAGAAGTTTTTAAACAAGGGTGAACAAAAACATCAATGGACTGTGGTCGGAGGGGAGCAGGTTTAACTGAACGCATAGCGTTTGTAAGCCTGCTGACGTATGAGGAGTGATCTACTACTGGTGGGAAGCTCGAGGGAGAAACAAACTCACCTGGCAGTCGTAGTGTTGTGCCATATACTAGCTCAGAGGTAGTACAACCAGCATCGGTTTTTAAGGCGTTTCGTATCCCTAGGAGAACTAACGGAAGGGATTCAGTCCAATGGGTGTTGCTTGCAGCTGACAGACCAGCTTTCAACTGTCTGTGTAGACGTTCTACCATACCATTCGCTTGAGGATGGTAGGCTGTTGTTCGAAAACGCATGCAACCAAGGATTTTAGTCAAAGCGAAGAATAAACCGCTTTCGAATTGCCGCCCACGATCAGTTGTTATGGAAGATGGGCATCCAAAGTTTGCGATCCATCTCTCTACAAAGACGCGTGCGACAGTTTCAGCAGATATATCCTTGAGGGGTACTGCTTCAGGCCATCGTGTGAAGCGATCGATGCAGGTTAACATATAAGTATATCCATGAGATTCTGGAAGGGGGCCAACTAAATCTATATGGACGTGTTCGAAACGGGCATCAGGGATAAGAAAAGTGCCAAGGGGGCTTTTAGTGTGTCGTATTACCTTGCACTTTTGGCAAGCTAAACACGTCTGTGCCCATTCCCTTACTTCCTTGTTAATACCAGGCCAGCAAAACCTACTAGTTACGAGTTTGACAGTAGTTCGAATACCTGGATGGGATAAGCCATGCAACGTATTGAAGACGTTACGGCGATAACTTTTAGGCACGATGGGGCGAGGAGTACTAGTGGAAATGTCACACAGAATAGTATCCTTTCCTATACCTAAGGGTTTCTTGGCTAGTTGTAGAGTTGTTTTCGACAACTCACGCTGAAGCTCAATATCTTCTTTTTGAAGACGAGCCAGTTTTACAAGGTCTATGCCATCGATTTGGGTGAAAGAACAAATACGTGACAAGGCATCTGCCACAGTGTTGTTCACTCCGGAAACATGGCGAATATCTGATGAAAACTGTGAAACATAATCTAGTTGTCGCGATTCCCTGGGTGAATACTTATCTGAAGTTGAGTTCAGAGAGTACGTCAGAGGTTTGTGGTCAGTGAAAATGATGAATTCACGACCCTCAACTGAATGTCGAAAATGACGGATAGCACAGTACATAGCTAGAAGTTCCCTTCCGAATGTGCTGTACTTCGTTTCAGCTACTTGAAGGCGCCTCGAGAAAAAGGCGAGTGGTTGCCATTCGTTGTTAACTAGTTGTTGCAGAACTGCGCCGATTGCAGTGTCTGATGCATCAACCGAGATACTCAACGGTGCCGTTGGATCTTGATACATAAGAAGGGTGGCATCTGCAATAGCTTTCTTTACCTGAGTAAAAGCATGTCGAGCAGACGTGTCGAGTTCGATAGCCTTGTTGTTCCCTCGAAGGAGATCGGTTAATGGCTGAATTAGAGAAGCACAATTAGGAATAAAACGTCGGTAATAACTTACCAAGCCGTTAAAAGTGCGAAGGCATTTTACTGTCTTTGGCTCCGGAAAGTTCAGTATTGCTTCGACTTTGGTAGCCAGTGGGCGAATACCCTGGCAGTCAATAGTGTGACCCAGAAAATCGAGTGAGCCAACGCCTATTTGACACTTCTGTATATTGATGGTAACACCATGTTGGCGTAACCTTTCAAATGCCAAGTCCAAGTGTCTAAGGTGAGTTTCCTTATCTGGACTGGCAATGAGGCAGTCGTCTAAGTATGCGTATACAAAGTCGAGACCGCGAAATACTTCGTTGATGAAGCGTTGGAATGTTTGTGCCGCATTCCGGAGGCCGAATGGCATACGTAGGAATTCAAAAAGTCCGAAGGGCGTGATGATAGCCGTTTTCGGAATATCTTCCGTTGCCATCGGGATTTGGTTATATGCTTTAACCAAGTCGATTTTGGAGAATATAGATGCTCCAGATAACGTTGCCGTCAAGTCGTGTATGTGAGGCAATGGATAGCAATCAGGAGTTGTTTTGGCGTTGACTCGCCGGTAATCACCAGTGGGTCGCCAATCGTTACTATCTTTTTTTGGAACCATATGCAACGGGGATGCCCATGGACTATTCGATGGTCGAATGATGCCAAGGGTGAGCATATGATCGAATTCGTTTCTGGCAATTCTCAGTTTATCAGGTGCCAGTCGTCGTGCTTTAGATGTCACGGGCTGTCCTGAGGTTATGATGTGGTGCATAACATTGCTGGTTATGCACGGGAGATCGTTAGATGGGCAATTCAGTTCCGGATATTTGTCAACAATCGGTTGAAAAGTTGGATCGAGAATTGCTTTCATCTTAACGATTGACAAGCTGGGGCCACTGTAAGTTATGCCTCTGATAGACAAACTAGTAGTGTTGTCAATTAGTCGTTTACGGCGGACGTCTACGAGTAAATCATGATGATTAAGTAGGTCCGTGCCAATGATGGGCATTGTGACGTCAGCGATTAGGAAAATCCACTGAATAGGTTTGCGTAAACCTACGTTCAGATAGACGTATTTCCGACCATAGGTTGCAATTGGTTTTCCATTTGCACCCTGTAGGTTGAAGTTAGGATCCTTCTGTCGATCTGCTGCTGTAGCAGGAAGGACGCTGACTTCGGCGCCTGTGTCGACTAGATATCTAATCTGGCTAATTACATCATGGATGTAAAGTAAGCGGCTAGTGCCACCGGCGACGGTTGCCGCTAACGCGTGCCGGCGGGATAGTTTCCCACAGACTTGGAGGCTTTGTCGAAATCACAAGGTTTTCGGCAACATTTCGCTTCCTTGCCATAGGTGTTGTGATACCAACACCAGTCAGGATTTTTGAGAGAACGTGTGTTGGACTTAGATCGTCCACGTACGTTTAGCCGTTGAGGGGATTTAGAACGACGATAGGAAGAATTGCTAGGCTTGTTTGACCTAAGCATCTGCTGGACGGAGTTGCATAGCTCTATCATTGCAGAATCCTTTCTCGAAGTCTGTTCGGTAACAGAGTTTATTTCAGTAACTGGCCGTTTCGTTATCTCTAGAATTCTATCTGCAGAGACAGCTAAATCATCTATGAGAACACCCTGAAGTGTCACAAGTACAGTCTGAACTGACTGTGGCAGTTTGGATAAAAATAGTTCTCTAAACAGTCCTTCATCGAACTGACTTTGGCCAATGATCTCTTTCATTCTTGCCAGCATGCTCACGGCTGACTGATCCCCTAACTCGATGTTACGAAATAACTCATCCAGACGTTGTCGATCTGTGAGAACGTTTCTCTTAAGGATGGATTCTTTGAGCAACTCGTACGAGTTACTTACCGACATCTGCAGAGTTACGCACTTGCTGAATTCCCGCGGTAGGGCGTGAATAACTGCAAGGAACTGTGAACGTTGATCGGTTATGCCATGTTCACAAAAATCGGACTCAGCAATCTGAAACCACGTTTCAGCATTATCTGGCCAAAATGGTACTAGCTGAATTGTTTTGGCGGTTGAGCGAATCTGAATAACCTTGGGGCTAGGATAACTCATGACGAAAAGTATGCCGATAACAATATAGTACAAGAATAAACACAAAAAGGAACGAACTCACCGGGTTTATCTGCGTGTGAATTGAAGATGTAGTTCGAGGTTGGGCTCACCAGTTTAGGTGGCTGTAGGTATCGACGTTCGCGAGTTGTACGGATTATACTAACGCAAGATCTTATACCAACAACCACTATAGTGTTCGTTCTTCGAGTACCAAATGGTAAAGCAAAAGACCAGATTTTGTCGTCCAAATACGATATATATTTTGGGACCAAATCGCGGGTAGGAATGAATGCTTAGCTAGCTAGTAATCGTGCACGCACGTGACACGACGAAGCACCAAATGGCGGGGATGCTTGACCGTAAGCCTTCAGCTAAACAAGTCGACTTAAACAGTGATGGTCAGCATCCAATGTTGAGTGATGATTGCTGTGGTTAATAATTTTGGGGAATTATTTACCGCTACAAAGTCTTCGTTATCTTCGCTCAAGGCTTTTGAGGAGAAAACGACACAAACATAGTACTCATTCAGGCAAATATCTGAATATACACGTGAAACGTAAAAGCAAGATTGGTAAGAGCTTTTACATAAAATTTGGATATGTAATGCTGAAGATTAAAACTAACCTGGGCAAAACATTCCATACAAATTACATGCAACTAGGATAAATGCTTTGAGCGAAATATAGGCAGCACTGCTTAGTTATGTCTGTATTGTAGCTTAATAGGAGGGAATGACGCCACTGATGTGACGGCAGTGTACGGTGATATTCAGTGGTAGAAATGTTAGTTTGGCGAGATATAAAACCTGGTAGCAAAACACCAACTGGCAAAAGTTATCTGTCACCTGCTTTTTTGTCTTCATATCAGGCCTTCTATATTGTTTCGCAGTGGTTTTTACTTTACCCTCTTGCAATTTAATTCATCTCTCTGATATTCAAGACGCATGCAGGATTCTACTAACAAATGCTTGCAAATAAAACAAGCCACACCATTACAGGCACATGGTAACCTTGAGCAAACTAACGTGCCAGTTTAACCTTATCACTTGGTTTACAGTTTCGTGTGTATCAGTAAGAAAAGACTCAGATGAAACCGATTGGCTCCTCAGATCCTGTGAAGTACACAAAGTCACGCCCAGACTTATATAGAATCTGGAAAGCAAGTATATGAATCCGCTAGGAGGAGCAGCAACTCGTTTGTTATCTGCCACCAGCTAGAAAAAACCTCAGTTGTTATTAAGTGGCCATCTGTTGTGGTCGACTTACGTCTTGAACACACTAACGATTGACTACTAGCCAATCGTAGTTCATTTGACAAGGCCGCCACTAGCTTCACTCATCAGCTGAGCGAGAGCCAGTATGTTTTACCCCTATTATAGGATGTATCTGCGTGGAGAGGATTATGAGATGCTGTGGCGATGCACACCTACAGTGCAGTGAAATCACGACTCCTCCCTTCTTTGAAACACGAAGTATTTGAGACGTCTTTGAACTCCGGAAAGCATAAGAACTGATTGCGGAGGAGGAATTTCCCCGGGTTATTATGACAACACGATTTTTGAAGTAATAATAATAATATATATTTCCTATCAATGTAGGACACACCAGTTGTACAGGCATGGATAAATATTATTTAAATTACATGAATTTGATTTATGGTGAAATTACATGGTTGCTGTCCTCTCTGACATCAGTTAGTGAGCACATTCTGATAGTTAGTCGTTCAATGGAGCACATAAAGAAATATAGAAATATTGTCTTCGCATTAACAAAAAAAACCCAAGTACGTGTCGGATAAATTACAAATATTTGGGAAAAAAATAAAGCTTGAAGTCAATTCCTCCATATAACTTTGTTGTGTGCGGCATCGTATCTTGTTTTATGTTCAAATTGTGTATTAATTTAAAATGAGTGATTAATTTTTTTTGTGGCTAGTGGAGGAATGTAAGGAGCTTGTTTCGTTATATTTGGGACTTGTAACTGGATTTACCAATATCTGAGAGTGATGATATTCCCAGTGATGCTAGACTTGCTTTTAGGGTTATGGTTTTTTCTAGGAAAATACTGATGTAGTCGGCCGCTGACGTTCCATTCCCTCTCCCAATCTTTAATGTGTGGGACGTCAAAAAGACTGCATATAATTCAGTCACTACTTTTAATGGGTAGTTGGATAGTATTTGAAGGTCATCTTCATCTAGGTTCAAGGCCAATGCTCGTGGTTTGGCCTGAAGGTTGTAAATGCATGTCTTAGAAACGCACTTCAGTCACCTGCTTCTGTTTGAAATATCTGCTGTCTAATCGCAAATATATATAATCACTTTTAGCTGTACCATCCATTGGATGGGCTAATGTTCGATGAGACTGCAGTGCATGTACTGGGAGGCGGGTAAGTATCACGTTTTATACAGTCTGGTTGCACTTTTTTTACATCTTCGAGTGTCCGTTATTTAAGAAATGTCACTCATGTGGTGCATATACCTGACGTAAATAATATGTGAGGTCAGCTAAAATCCCAAGCTAACTATAGTGTTGAATTAAATCTCAATAACTCTGAAATAATCGTCTCTTTCTATATTGAGTAAATAATGAATCTGTTCTGTAATGGATTCTCTAATGGCACAGACCAGAGCTTAGTGCTGGTTTTCAGCATGACTGTCACAAACTCAGCACCGTGTTCTTTTTCTAGGCATTTTCAGGAGTAGATCAAAACCTACTGGGTTAGTTTATCAGCTTTTTTTCCAGCCCTTTCGGCTTATTTTCAGCGCTGACTAGCATTACTACAGAACGAAAAGATGGCTCCTAATTATCATCGTCTGTGTCTTATGCTGGTGCAATCCATTTAATTTGCAGGAAAATTTTTTTTATAATTGAGGGAATTTTGCATTTAGAATGTGTAGTACAATGTCACTGCGAATCCCTCAAGTTAGGTCCATTGGTAGCATCCTGTAAATAAGCAAAATAAAGTACTAGTTGATGAAAAATTGTGCACAGCATTTACATTTAGAAAAGTTTGCTTACATAACTGTTATATCCCCTGGTATCATTTCCATTTGCCTTGAGATAAAAACAATGTTGTGATTAATAAATGTTGACTTAACGTTGACTTATAAAACGAAGCGGGCGTTTCACAATATTACCTGAATTCCTTTCTTCAGGTTACGCCTTTGGCCACGATCTTTCAAATTATGATAGTACGATTTCGTGGCCTTATGCATTATGTCACCACTAAATGCTGCATCACGTAACCGCTTTTGACGGCGATAAAATGTGGAGTAGCTGTATCCAAGGCATTCATGCAGTCTGCCAGAAAATATTCTTCTCTTACGACTTGTTGCAGAATGTTGAGTACCCGTATCTAACACATTATCGGAGTTGTTTTCTTTATAATAGAAATACACCGAAAATCTAACTCACCTGCATGATTTATAAATCCTGTAAGAATGGTCTCTGTATGTATAGAGTACCGCTTATATACTTCTAGGCAAACATCAGTTGTTTAAATATGAAAAGGGATGACAGGTGAACTTTAATTATAATCCACCAATTAACTTGTAATCACAACTGTTAACATTTTCCTTACAGCAAGTATATGTTTTCATATGTGAAACAACACAATCTGCCACCCCTTGTTTCATTTGGACTCCCAAGGTTTTAATATATGAACTCGTAAACTGTGTTCAGCAATCGAAACAATTTATATTTCACTTATGACAGGTATCCTTTTTTATCTGTGGGATTTGAGTTTTCACCCTTCCCTCCACCTTTAGTTCGTTTTAAATTTTTTTGTTTCATATTTGCAATATTCAGCGGAGACTCTTTTCAACGAATTTATTATCAAGGTTTACAAACGTATATATATGGTTTTTAAGAAATTATATCCAGTGAGGGAATTAGGTCAAAGGTGTGAATACATAACATAATAATGATGGTTTGAAATGCAAATAAAATATTTGTGGTTCTAATCATAGTTAAACGCAAAGTAGCAAAACAATCAATGTCATATATAGAATAATACATAGGGTGTATAGATGTTGGAAAGGGGTTCATAATTATAGGATTAGTAGGCGAATATAAAATGCTACGTAACATGGTGTGAAATTTGCTAAGATAGAATTCAATATAGTAAAAATAAAAATTTTAAAAAATTAACAATTTAGAATTTAGAATGACAAGTGGAACAAGTCGAAACAAGTCAGAGTCAGAATAGTAATAATAATATTTTCACTAGCGAAATACTACCGAAATTCGTTAGATTTAATTCATGACAAGTGTGTGTTTTCGCCTGTTGTATTTGACCCATTTTTTGTTCTAATAGATTTTTGCTTTTCAATTGGGGACCTGTCATAAGTGAATCGTTATCAATAAATCCTGCACAGAAATCATGACGATCGTAGAATAGACATCAGACACAACCTGTCTGGTTTATAAATTTTTTTCATTTGTGACCTCGCCTCGAATTCGCTTACATTCCACAAACGAAATATATTATTCATGTGACCAATTCACCTTCCCCTACCAGCCTTGTTGAATTATGTTTTCGTAGTATTCTTATTTACTATCACACTTCTGGTCAAATAGACCAATCATATTATATGCAATTCGCAGACAAGTCTGTAGTCGTCACACTACGTATTCTGTGTGAAATCTACTCTTTGCGGATTGGTTGGACTCACTATACTATGTCCAGAGGCAGTGCTTTTTTCAGTACTAACTGCTGCAGTTAGGCATGCAGTGCTTATTTTTAGTACTACAGGCATTATTTCATATGCTAATCTTATATTTAGGATTTTTTTGCATTAGTTAAGCACCCAGCTCTCTTTTTAAGCACGACCAGCGTTATTTCAGCACACAGTGGGTAGATAAAATTTTCGTTTGCCATTAAAAGGCATTATCGAAGAATAGGTTAGAATAAGTTTAGAATTGTTGTAAGCTTGGGATGTGGTTAACACATCTCTGACGACCTCAGGAAATATTCAGCCATAAGAAGTAAATGAATTGTGCCGTTGTAAATGAATGCCAGTCACATTACTGTCATAAAGTTGATGAGCTAATCACATTAATGACTTAGACCTGCATCAGCCAACTCTACTGGCAGTTGAAAGCTATGGTAAAGCATATTCATTCTGCAGTCACCTTAGTTACTAAAGTCTCATATTCACATCCTTTGTTGAGGAACCTAATATTTCGTCTGCATCATGGATGTTGCAAATTATTTCACTCTAAATAATTCATCTATAGGTTCTGTCAATATCAATTGGGACTGGCGCAATTAATGAAGTAATTAAGGTGCTCAATGTGTCTTAATATTTATCCAGGAAAGGAAGGGAATTATTGTAATTGAAGGTCTTCACTATTATATACTGCGTTAGGGTGGGGGAACAGTGGCATTTTCACAGTTTTAACACACAGTCTCTTTATTTTGGGGGAAAGTTCGCCATTCCCCGAACCAAGCAGACTATTGTGTTGGTCATCTTACTAGTTACACGGCTTGCAATTTGAAGGTCTCATGTCTAAATCCTGCTGCACATACTTCAGCCTGTTTGCCTAGGTAGTGTCATTATCCCATACATTAAAAGTGCGGTTCATATCCAGTTCTATGCGAGATAACTAACCTGTGGAATTACGGATTGCTATAAACCTAACCCTAGTTATTAAGTGTCTTCTTTTAGAGGATTAAAACCGAATTAATTCTAAATGATGATGAGCACAGATCTTTGTTGATAGTTCCCATGGTCCAACACAAACTAAAGTTTGTAGACAATTACCATGTTTGATTGTTTTTCAGTTTACTTCTATACGTTGCATGTGTAAGGGAGAACAAATGCACAATCAAGAGGAATGACAATATAAAGCTGACGTTATTAGGGCAAGTGATTAACTGTCTTGAAAGACAATTTACCTCATATATAAGGTTTAAGTAACAAAACTGTCTGAATCTGTAGTCACCACTGAAAGCTGGCTGTAGGGTTGATGCAGATACTACTTTTAAAGTAGTACTCGTTGGTTTGGTGCTTGACTGCCGACCACCGCCTTAGGAATTCAAAATATGCTCTGCCTGCTACTTGATCATCCAGGCCTCACAGTAGTCCAAGATCCGCTGCCAAACGCATGTAAATCGAATTGGTTGCTGAGTAATATTTCAGTTCTTTTCTGCATAAGAACAATCAGGGGAGAATAGATGAATTTTTAGAAGCCTTTGTTGCCACTTGCAACTACAGGTCTTTTTATGTTTTCAGTAACGATTTGTACTTACCGAGTATCCCTTGTAATTTTAGTTTGATTTTTATGTTGGTTATGGTAGAGTCCAGACCTGTTTTTAATCTTCATAAATCCTCTAAACTTATGCTTACTGAATTTAATGTTTTTTAAACATTCCCGTGCAAGTAATTTGAAAAGTTTTTATGTGACATGGTTATTGAAGACATGTAGCGCTAATAGCTTACACACATCAACTAAACCTCACTCTTTATTTTTCCCGAATGTAATGATTCTATGTCGTGATAGACATCCACATAGAAGTTAGTCATTCAATATGAAGTTCTGTTTAATCAGATACCTTAGGATAATAAGTTTGGGTTCTCGGTGTTTAGGAGAGCCTAGTTGGATGGGTTCGTTTCACTGTGCAATTAAGGTGAAATAAAAACCTGGATAACGCTAGAACAAGTCAAACAATAGGAATTACCTTCAATATTCTTACATGGTTAACAACTCGCATTTTGCTTACACCATTTCCGTTATGCTACTGCAGTAATCAGGTCTAAATATATCATTGTATCGTTTATAGAAGTTTTGATATTCCTCTAAATTATTATTTTCCTAGTGTGTTAAGCACGACACTGGATAGTTGATTATGATTCTTCACTCATTACACGTATTTCCAACTGATTCGATAAATAAACCTTCAGTTATTAGTCTCTCCCTCAAACCTGTTGCTAGATTTTAGTAGTGTCATCTTATCCAATCCTATTGTATGGTTGTGCATAACTGCGTGTAGAGCTGGTATAGCTGAACTATCCTCCAGTTCGGTGTTTACGCTTTAACCACTCTGAGGTCACCAACTTACAATTATTCCTGCTTGAACACTTGGAGTCGAAGTAGATAATTTTTTTATTTCCTTTATAACTTATGTGGTTTCAGGAAGTCTCGAACTGACAATGACTTGTAGAGTTTTATATTATCAGTTATGTCTTGGTGTTTTCAAAAGCTGAGCGGCAACGATGTTGGCTTTTCTTTTTATTTACATAACGTGGTTGTGACCATCCACCACTACTTCGATGACTGATTCACTGTGTGAACTAGATTGTTTGTGTATTGATCTCATGCCACTCTAAAATCGTTGCTTAATAGATATTTGTGAAATGAAGAACGATCGCGGTCAAAGTGTAAATAGTGTCCATTGAAGGTCTGAGGACAAAGTTATGTTTATACTTGTTTAGGAAAATAATCAGCTTTTCTAATTATCCTTTTGTTATGGAAAATGTTTGCGTTGACAGTTCCGAGTAAATAAGATTACCAAACGAGTTTAGTTGTCAAACGGGGTTGATTAATGTATGTGGCTGAGTGATTTGTTGCGTAAATTAGGCTTTCATCTACCCTGACGCAAAATGGTGATTAAGAGTAAAACTGTTAAGGAAAACAGCCCGTCTTTCTTTGTCTGATTAAAGCACCTCGACAGACGGTATAGAGTTAGTAGTTAGCAGTCAAACGTGGCAGGTTTCAAAATTGGTCCTTATGATGCAAATGTCTAACTTCTGGCATATCGCGTTTTGTTTGTTTATCTATCGCATTAAAGTCTATCCAGATGAAATGGTTAGTAATAAAGTAAACTATCTACCGGATGATAATTGTTTAACTATTCATTACTTATTGTGAGAGTAAAATTTGGGGACTTTGGTAAAATGTAATTCCATATATTAACTGGTTGACGTTATGATCACAATTTACTGCTCATTATTATATAGTTGTTAGTTGGTGGACAGGTTAATCACTTTTGCCCATTGAATCAGCAAACAACACACGCATTGTAAATGAAGCGTTACCGATTCTGGATATATGGAAAAAATCGTATGGACATAGAGGGATAGTAGAACTATATAAAGCGAGTTAGCGGAAGATGTATGAATACAATGATGTGATAAGTGAGAAATAAATCATGCTTAGGACGTTTTATAGTTATTTATACTGTATCATTGTGTTATATCACATAAACATCCTAAAATCACCATTTACTTTGGGAATGTAAATAAAACTATAGTCTCTCAGTGAAGAACCCCAGCACACTAGATTTTTCCATCAGTAGCATACTCTATGTAGGTAATAGAATCTAAAAAAGCGACCTTCTGTGACACAAGTCGGAGCAGGTTATTCGTCCCCTTTTTTCTCGAATCCTGCTTTGTTTCGTCTTTTAAAAATGTTGGTTTTAAAAGGTTGTAACCAACAGATCAGAAGATGGGAGTTAAAAAACATTAAGCTAGGGGAGAGAATTTAGTTTGTCGATAACGATAAACGTTAACCAAGATGCATTTCCAATCATCCAGCAATAAGTGACTCTCATCCCTAGGGCCTGTAAAACTTAAACCTCTACAGATGAAACTGGTTTCCAACCCATAAGCTGCATAGTAGCTTGTCGATTCATGTTCCAATTGAGGCCCATCTGATCTGTTTTACTTCCATCGTAATCTCCTTTGCGCGTTTCCATTTCTGCATGGTTTTCAATATTACCAATTCGCTTGGGTCTTTTTTCATTTACTCAACACTCGTTCATTTCCAACCCCAAGTCCAATTGACATATTTAGTTCATCATAAGATGATCGGAAAATAATTTTTTATAGGTCATCTGTTGCGCATAAATCTTTTATGAATTCAGAATTGATTATGACACATCATATAATCTTGTTACACAAAACATCTATACTCAATGAACTCTGCTTGAAGTTAGATTCTATATTAACACATCACGATAACGAAACATCTTTCTTTTTGTGTATATTCTGCTTTCTGTAGCATTGGTGGAACAGTTGGCGCAGTTTTGACTTGTCCATTAGAAGTTGTTAAAGTTCGTCTTCAATCTTCAAAAGGAGTTGTATTGTCTACTTCATCTACTTCCAAGCTTTCCTCAGACCAGTCTGGCAATCGTTTTTCTCACACTAAATATCCATTGTCTGGTAAAAAAGAAGCTATTAATAAGTACGGTCAGAGGTTCGATTTAGATCTCAGGTCAATCAATCCCTTGCATAATAATCCGATAAAGTCCCCAGTAATTGACTCTTCTACAGCATCACATGGCCCATCAAATTCCAAACCTCACGGATTTCGAAGATCCGTCATTCTTCGTTCGTTAATCGATATATGTCGTTATGAAGGACCTACAGCCTTATTTAAAGGTCTCATCCCTACACTATTCGGAGTGTTACCGTCACGGTTAGTTTATATCTTTTTACAATATTTGTCTAATAAGTTTCATTTCATGAGTTTTAAGGTGCCTGTTTTTCAAAATTACACTTGTCTGCTTTTGACATACAACATCCTATGTTTCGTTATCTCTAGTCGTTGATCATTACTCATCGTTGGTAAGGTTTTTTTTTCATCACCATTTAGTGTACATGATAATTACTAAACTTAATCTCTGTTTTCTTGTAATAAATGGTATTTATTAATCAGCAAGATGTATTATTGCCAAACGGTCTGTCTACTTTGAAACCACTGAAGGTAATCTGTGGGCTGATTTGTGAATACTGAACACTCGGTCTATTCGTTCAGCTCCGACTTTAGCAACTCTATATATTTCTAAGCAAACAGTTCACAAAGACATGTAATAAAATCAGTTAACTGATATGTACACACTTCTGTAGTGTAATGTGGATAGTTCACTGTGCAAGTGATTTGTAAGCTGTCTGTTTTTTGTATATAGCCTCATTGCTTGATACCTAGTTAGATCTGTTCAGATATCGTGTTGTTGACTTTGAACAAGAAAAACGTTTATCTGCCTCAGTGGCTAGCAAAGTATGCTTTTCACTTCGTGAGATTTCTAGTTATTCATGACTTTTTGGTTATATTTTGTGACTGGCCAGCTCTTATTAATATCACAGCTGGGTAGTTTTAAAAATTCCCAGGCGTAGGAATATCGGTGCGAATGTGCGAAATACATTGCTAAAAATACGTAGAGAATTAGAAGTTGGGATTCATGGGCCATTGGATTGGGTCCCAGTGACTGAGAATGGTCTACGAGCTCACCTCGTGGCCGGAAAGTCTTGTGTTCAAGCCCTAGTAAATGCGTACTGATGAAGCGTCCTAAACTAGGATGAAACAGCTCTGCAGTACTCCTAGGTTTTCCAATAGTTCTCTAACTGATATCACCTCGTGACCTGTAACCAATCAAACTTTTGCACGAAGCCAACACAAAAATTTAATCATTTGTTTGACATTAGACGGCGCTCTGACTAATTTTTCACTTGTTACTGATTTATTGGACTGAGATGGTTGGCTTCGTTAGGACTTGTATAACAGATGTCGTGTTCTACGAACTACATATATATATATATATGTATATGTTTATATGCATATATATATATATATATATATATATATATATACCAAACTAGAGAGTTTTTTATAGAGAGGATTCTCAGGGTTCGACAAGGTAATATTCGGTAATTTCTTCTATGTGTCCATCTACAACAGTATTAACAAGTTTGTTTAGCGGCATTCTGCTAGCCCTGATGACAGCTTTTAGTGCTGTTCGTAGTGTAACAAAGTTTTTCTTAAGTATCCCAGGAAAGATCAAGGCGTGGGTGGGGAGGAATAAAGAAGAATAGGTAGAATAGAAGAATTGACAAACTTTAAAAGTAGATATTGACTGAGTGATACCAGATTGCTTTAGCTTTCCTACGTAGAACGAAGGTTAAACGAAATATCTTTCTTGAAACTAAAATGATGTGGGAAGACCAGGAAAGATCAGACGAAATACATGATCCAAGGGTGTTTAACACTTGATTTAGTTTCAACTTAACTGCCATCCATGACAGCAGAATCGAGCGAACGAAACAGTTCATGTAAGTCGCGCTTGCGTCTGAAAGTAAAATTAACAACCTGACATTTTGAGGGATTTGGCTTCAGACCATTTGACAAGGACCACTGACTAATTTCTAATAAAAAGTTATTGATTGAGAATTAACCGGCATGGAGACAGCCAAATCATCAGCATACTTAACAAAATGGGCTTCATCAGAGTGGGACAAGTCGTATAAGAGGAAAAAAAAAGAGAAAACGAGGAAGAAGAGCACCTTGAGGAACACCGGCCAGAGTAAGGTAGTGGAAAAATTCCCAATATATACAGTGTCCTGCACATGTCGCAGCAAGCTTATTCGGTAAAACAGGACTAGGTACAGAGTCAAAGGCAGATGTGTAATCAAGGAAGGCACACCGAGTATATTTGCCACCTTTGTCTAAAGTAGAGACAATAGAGTTATGCAAAACAACATTGGCATCTGGAGTATACCTACTGTGTTTATAAGCAAATTGTTTAGAGTCGTTAAAAGTCTTCAATTAAGGTTCAAGGTTAAGTAAGTGCAGTTTCGCCTTCACTTTTAAAAGTGGTGAGGTAATAGGAATAGGTCTAAACTTAACACTTGGTTCATTTAGGTTATGTTAGGTCATGAGAAAACGTGATGTTTATTTCATCAGACATCTTTTCTCAGTAGTTCATTTGAGGATTGTGTTATTATTATTATTATCACTATAATCAGCTAATATATTTCTATTTTTGTAAATCACTGCTTGTTTCTTTGTTTTAACAGGGGAATCTATTTTTGTGCATATCACAACGGGCAGTTGTTCTTTGAAAAGTATTTCCAAACAGGATCTTCAGCTGTTTATTTGTGTGCGGCTGGAATCGGAAGTAAGCGTGATCTCCCCCTATTATTTTTTTGTTCTTCTCACCATACAGTTACTCTAGGTCCACACATATTATGTCTACTCCTTTCGCATCAGTAGGTAAAGTTGTCCCGTCTACTAGACTAGGATGATCCCTTCACTTAGAGATTTGTCCCATTATAAATTATAGTTTATTGGTATATGAGTAATAGTCGACTTTCAATTAGTTATCTAGTTACAACTCATTTACCCTGTACCGGTATATCGGGCTATGAGTCACACTTACTGCTTTGGGATTTGATGATTCTACTCAGTCGTGCTCTCAGGCTCAAGTAGAGGTGGAGTGAGATTAGAACCACAGGACTCATTGACTGGGATGGGAGTTGAGCGCTCACCAACTTTCAACTTTTAGATCGTACACATTTCATCTACCGGCGTCTAGATAACTAATTTTTATTGTCAGTCTTCATTACTCCAAGTGGGTTGGTTATGGTTTGTAAGTTATTAAGAGATAGACATGACAATACTATAAAATGCTAAAAAAGAAACTATTCATGAATATTCTTTACTTCTGTCTGTATTTTTCTAGCCTTTAAATTAAGAAAGAGATCATTATCGCAATTCATTTTTAATAGTAAGTGGGATATCACCTTTAGGGTATAGACAAAGCAAGCCTAGACTAAAGGAGACTTTAGTCTACAGTAGACCTTTTAGCGTTGATACAAGTTATAGATAGAGACGCTGTGCTTATGACAATATATCAGACAATACCTAGGAGTTGACTACGAAACAAATTTCAAGTATATTCTTCGTGTAAGATTTTATCATATACGGAAAATTTAAAATATTGTTTCGGATGAATTTTTTTTCGAGGGTAGGGGAGATTAACTTCAGTGTTTCCTATAAAAAAATTTACCTCTAAAACTGTAAATTAGGAGAAATTTCGCGTATATTTTTTTCCCGCCTACAGTCTTAAAAAACCGGCAATCTACACTGTGAAGAGATTTTTTTCTTGTCGGAAAGATTGAATAAAAACAAAACTCTCCATTATTTCAAAATCTTATCTTCATACATTTTTATTAAGTTTATGTGTTTTAGAGGTGGTTAATATGGTTTGAAAATTGACTTGACCATTGTTTGTCGTCCCCGGTAATCGTCATTATCGCCATGAAATGTTTAAACAAAGGATCTGAGGATCTATTTGTTTTTAATTCATTTAAAAAAAATTTATTTTCCCGTTGATTGATTGGACTGAAATGTTCGACCTCAGTTGGCGTATTGACTCTCCTAGCACGGGCGCTTCGACAATGTCTGGTGGTGATGATTGGCTTGAAGTGATTTGGTGAACTGTTGACTAGCAGTGGGATTCAGGATGCACATTTTGTCCTGGATTCCACTGCTAGTCGTCATCATTCATCAGATCTGAGGATTTGTTTTTGTTCCGTTCTTTCAGTTGTGCATGGTGTTTATAATTGTGAAGCTTTCCTTGTCCTTCTGGTGGACGACAACAACACATTCAGCGCCAACTTAAAACATGAAGTATGAGTTATTCATAATTAAACTATCCAGCTCAGAGAACTTAACACATTACCAAAAGACATCCATCTAAGTGTGAGCTATCATTCTCCAATATTTCAAAGGATCTAAGTGCGTCGGTGGTACAGTGGGTAGGACTCTCGCCGACCATGCACATGGTCTGGGGTTCGATCCCTTGCCGACGCACACCTGATATCCATGGTCGGCCTGCAAAATTTGGGCTACCGATATTACATGCTGAAAATTCCATACCTGTACCAAAATATACTGTGTGGAATCAAGCTGTAATAAAAAAAAAATGTGCATTATTGATATTAAATGGTTGGACGCAATTGTCAAGAAGCCTTGGACCTAGGTTTCGTGCTAGTTGGCACTCACTAGTCAGCAAGGCGTATCTGTAATCTTGAAGGAACTCATGTCCCTTCTGAAATTCAAACCTGCGTCACCCAGTGCTGCAGTCTGTACCAAATAAAGGACTAGACATACTACACTAGTCACTGACTAGTGTCCAATTAAATGTGCATTATGCCTAGCAGTATGTTCTGTTGTACTCCATTTGAGATTTGGAGTTTAGCCAAAAGTCTTAATTGCTTATAGGTGGTCAGTAGTAGTAACTTTAAAATATTTTCTTCATATAGATGACAGAGTCATTGAGATGAGGTTAGTCAGGATTTCTGTTCAAGAAATCGAAACCAGTCAGTACAAATATCCATTAAGTTAATTTTATAAAACAGTGTTTCGATGAAATGTGACTGACTGAGGAGTCCTCCAACTTGGCACTTTGCACAGAAGTAAAGCAGCACTTCAACTTGGCACACTCCATTTACCACACAAAGGGTGGAGAAAAGAAAAAAGCTCAAAAGAACCATAATAAGCGGAAATGTACGAAAGAATGATTATGTGGAGAAACACGAGGACTTGATATATTTGGGAGATTACGAAGAATGAATGCATCCGCACTATATTGAGCCACATCACCAACAGTTACCACTTTTTGGTTCGTAGCACCTTGAGGAGACCCCAACGACGCATATTCTACACATCCCTACATGGCTCAAACCAATGTCGGAAGACACTGATATGCAAAGTCATCAACTGTTATTCTACATTGTACAGGACAGTTAACTGTTCAAAAGTCTTTAAATATTTCCATATCACGAAAATTTTGAACACATCACAGCATATACTAACATGTGTTTGCTATATCCACTTAAGTCTTCCTTGATGATTTTTTCTTTTTTTTACCTAAATATTGTGCTTCCAACGATAATGCCGGCTTAGTTCCAGTGACTGAAGAGATTATAAGTCATGTTGACTACGAACCCCAAGGTTTCGAATATCCATCTATATACAGGAGTCAGGGCATTCAGGCATTATCGTTTATCTTGACACACGATAAGAATGGAACTCAGTGACATATGAATGAACATATTTGCGATTTTTATGTTAAATAGGATTTCTGACTTATTGGTAGACTCATTTTTACATCATTGTAAGACTTTCACTTTACATTGTGAGTAGTCATCAGTCTTGTCTAACACACTATGTTGGTTGTTTTTAAATGTGATTTTCAGGTATAACAGCTTCTTCTTTGACCAATCCTATTTGGTTTGTGAAAACAAGGCTTCAGCTAGATTCACGGCAAGTTTTAATAATACTTTATGCTCCCTATTCATGTTATGATAAATGTACAAGTAGTGAAATGTATTTCTTCTTAAGAAGATTTTTGTGTTGCACTCAGATCAGCAGTCAGTAAATTCATGAATCAAGTGTTGGTTTGTAGGGATTTGATTGGTTACAGGATTTTCATCATGAGCTGACATTAGTTAGTCCCAAAATAGGACGAAACAGCTGTCCAGTACTCCCAGGTTTTCCAATGGTCCTCTAACTAATGTCAGCTCATGATGAAAATCCTGTAAATTCATGAATCGTTGGCACTGTATATACGTTCGGCTTCGAATTTCATTCAGTCTAACGCTTAACGCGCATGGATAGTATCATTCGTTCCTTGCGTTCCGACTGGAACATAGAGTCTCATCGGCACATCTCCATTGTACTCAGTTCTCTGCCGTGACTTTTAACTGGCTCCACGCCTCACATGATCTTTTCCATGTCACCTTCGGACCCATGGCCAACTCGTCGCTTCACATTTGGGTCCCACTCGGTGTTCTGGTTCTGGTGTGTGTGTGTGTGAAATGTCACTTACAGTTCCCATCAGAGTATGTTCAGTCCACCTCCATTGTCTTCTGCATATTTGTTGGGTAGGAGGATGTTACCTGGTTTGTTGTCAGAGTTCTTTGTTTCTTATCCTTGCTGACAGGCTATCGGGTACTCGTTATCGTGTCAGCAAAGGCAGCTGTTGATGAAATTTTGCAGTGACACGCGCTCGCCAAGCCCTCTATACCGTATAAAACTACTCACTGACTTGACTGACAGTGTTAGACAGAATTTAGATGTTATTCCGTAGTGCTGAAGACTGCAGATTACCATGCTGATTGCAGGGTATTGAATACCTGTTTCGCCCAGCATACGTGTACTAAATCACCTACTTTCGTTTAAAGCCTCATCAATGTTTTTCACATGAGCTTTCAGTGATTCATGACTCCATTGCTAAAAAGTCTAAAATGGTCAGATTTTTAGAATTTCAAACAATGCCACATGTCAATTGTCATCCACAACGGAAAACTCGGTGGTGTGTTGGATTACACGGAAGGCCACAGGGAAGGAGGAGACAGAAGTGCGTTGAACCGATAAGAAGAATGTAGAAGATCTGGACTTCGCGGACGATTTATGTCTAACATCATGCAAACTTTAAGATTTACAGGTGAGAACCAACAGACTGGCAGAAGAGGTAGGCAGCAAAGACAGGACTTCAAATGAACATAGAGAAGACAATGATGATGAAGATAACCGACCAACCAAAAAAAAACAACCAGCACCAATCACTATCAACAGTAGAAATTTGAAAGAGGTCACTTCGTTTACATATCTAGGAAGCATCATCCCAACTGCACGCACGCCCCACGGATGACGATGCCCAAATCAGCCAGGATCGGGAAAGGCAAGAGAGAGACCTTCATCACTCTGAAATCAGTTTGGAAATCTTTTGCACTCTGCCGCAGCATAAATAACGACATTCGGATTTTCAACACCAATTTTAAGTCAGTCGAAAATTTATTTTGATAAAGTCTCACAGTGTTGTGCACAGTAATATTTACTGAGCACAATTTATTACTCATAATCATATCAAGTTATTCACACAACTTTCTGGTTGTGGAATTGTACTCTACCACAGTGTGCCCAAGCTCTGTTCCTAAGTCAGTCAATTCTTCTAAATGGGTTAGAAACTTGCCGCGTCATGTAAAGCATCTCTAGCAGCCAGCGGTGGAATTTTATCAGTAGCTGCCTTCACTGGCTCCATACTGAAGATGAGATGGCCGGCTGACCAGAAAGAATTAACAATAAGAAGCTCTAGGGGACGAACCAATCAAACCTGTTGTTCAACAGATATGACGAAGAAAGTGGAGATGGATTCGACACACCCTGACGAGACCGTTGGATGACATCGCGTGCCGGCCTCTTGCTCGAGTGGAACCCGAATGGGAAACGGCGAGTTGGGCGTGCGTCAGAGGGTGACATGGAGTTGATGGTGCAAGGAGGAGGTGAGAGCTTATGAGCAGTTGTTGAGCCATCTAAAGAGGACTGCAATGAACAGGACAAAATGGAGATGTACTGTTGAAGCCCTACTTTCCTCTCGGAACTCGGAGGGACCATAACAGTATAATGATAATAATAATTTACTACTTAGCACCAGCTTGAAACGCTTAAATTCCGAATTTATTGCAACTGTGATTAGTAATGCTTTCTAAAAAAAATAAATAATAAAATGCATTTCTTACCCTTTATTGATTTGTATACTGTAGGCCAGGTCATCCACCTATTACTGTATCACAAGTTATTCGTAATACATGGAATAAGGATGGATTACGTGGTTTCTATCGTGGTGTAAGTGCATCGTATTTTGGTTCTCTAGAAACAGCTTTAAATTTTGTAATATATGAAAATTTCAAATCAGAACTACTCTGGAGAGAGCATAAACGTCGACAAAAGTTGTTACTTAACAACACCACCACCACCAGTAGTCGTGTTTCCAAATTTCAACAATCCTCATTACCTGAAAATGAATGTCTACCTCAAAAAGCCTCAGATTTACGAGGATCATCTGGTGGGAGTAAATTATCCGCTTCAAAGGACATGATCTTATGCATGTTTGCCAGTGCGTGTTCTAAAGCCATTGCTATAACTGCGCTTTATCCTCATGGTAAGTTGTATAAGAAAATAATTTTTAACTGATTAAAAATGCCCATTAACTTTTTTTTGAAAAGACTGATTACTGAACAAAGAATAATCTTGATGATAACCTGCTCTTCATCAGGTTCTACAGTTATATATACACATAATAGTGAATGAATTAGTGTTATTAACAGTATTAATGTTTTTTAAATAACATCGAATCAATAATAATAGTATCAATGGATTACAGTTCGATAGTATCAACCTAATACTACACGCTGAATATCAGAAATATTAGGAAGGATAATAACACAAATTCATGAATTTATAGTCTCCACTGAAGGCCAACCAGCGTAGTGGTAGTAGTGACTGGACTTGTTTCTTTTGCACACAAAGCACTGATTGTTTAAGGTGAATCGCCGATAGCCTCTGCTGTTTGGAGCACGCGGTACCTCGATGTTTTTGGCAATTTATTTGGTACGTGGTAGATGATGGAGAAGGATTCTTCAATGCTGGCTTGTGGCCCGTTTGGACCAGGTGGTATAGCCACACTGGTAGGTGTTCCCGAACGAACACGAAAAATCAAGTTCCTAAAGCTACGGCCAATATAACTCTCTCCAAAAGCGCAGTTGAATCGGTAGATACAATTAGAAGTGGCTGGTGTAGGTACTTCATCTTTGAGTTGAGGAATCACCATCGGTCGTGTAGAAAATATGACTTGTAGCTTACCAGCATTAAAAGTTCTTTGAATGGATTTTCTTAACTTGTTAGTAATTATTTCACTAGGTACGTCACTCTTGAATTCCAGTCGTATGTATAAAGGCTTCTTATTTACAAATGGAGAATAGTCCTTTTCTGCTTTCTCTGTCATGTGTTTCTTGATGAACTTTTCTGGATAGCTATTTTCAATATAGTATCTCACACAATTCTTAGTTCATCTTCAGTTACCTCTTCTGAGCATATAGCTCTAACGCTGTGGTTGAGGGTCCTTACTAAATTTCTTTTGTACTGGAGAGGAAGGAAGCTATGAAAATGTGTATATTGTCCTGTCCATGTGCTTTTCCTATGCAAATTTCTCTTTATACTATCATCTGATTTTCTTGTAAGGAGGACATCTTGGAAAGCAATTGTATTTTGGGATTCTTCTTCGCATGTGAATTTCATAGCAGAATGTACTTCATTGAATTGAGTTATTATTGTACTCCTATCCGAATCATTATCACAAAGAATAAAGGTGTCATCCGTATACCGGCGATAAAATGAGAATTTTCTAATAAGGTTGTTCAAAGGTCCATTTTCTAGTTTACTAGGAGGAGATCTGCCAAAATGGGACCCAATGAGGAGCCCATTGCCACCCCGTCCACTTGTCTGTAAAGTGTGCCATCAAATTTGAAATTTACATTCATGTTACACCTTGATAACAATTCTTTTAGGATTTCCGTTGTGATGCCAATATTTATCAACTGGTTATACACTTGCTCACATATGTAGTTAACTGTTTCTACTAGAGGTACATTTGTGAATAAAGATGTTATGTCCAAAGATAGATATTATAGTTTTATCCTTGACATTAATATCTTTGATTTTGTCTACGAATTCAAACACATCTTTGATGTTATGTTTCACTATCTTCTCATGCAGAGGTTTGAGAATATTTACTAACCATCTATCTCGAGCACGGTAGGGTGAATTTTTGCATATTAAGTATTGGCCTTAACGGTGTCCCCGGTTTGTGTACTCTAGGTAGACCATACAATCTTGGCGTGTATTGTTGTATTAATGCTATCGAACTATAATCCATTGATATTACTATTGATTCGATTTTACTTAAACAACATTAATACTGTTAATAACACTAATTCATTCACTATTAATGTGTATATATAACTGTAGAACCTGATGAGGAGTAGGTTATCGTAAAGAATATTCTTTGTTCAGTAACCATCCTTTTGAAAATAATTTTTGTGAATATTTCTCTTTGTATATTAAAATATACTTTGAGGTCAGTTCATGTGTGTTTGTGTATGCAAGATTTTTGAGAGCTATGTGCGGTGATTAAATTAGTCTGGAGCTAATTATCGTGTTATTTAAGGGACTATTGAAGAGTGAATGATAATCGATAGCTATCTCAATCTAGAAGAAAGAATTTCGCCACTAGTTACACCTCACGGGACGGGAGTGAAGCCACAGTATTCTCTCCTGTTGGGGCTAGTAAACTACCAGTCAGCTTTCAGAATGGAACCCATTAGTTCACTCTCAGTGAAACCCTAGCGCCGTCTAGCTTTCTTATTATCCATGGTAGAATGAGTTGTGTGCATATTCAGCAGGGCTGAAGTTAAACTATAACAGCCATAATCAGGAAGCTTGCAAGCAACTTTGAACTACAAGCAATCACATTAACTATGAAAGTCATACATGCGCTACGCATGGAATTTTGTCTAACCTTTCCGTGAATTTCCCTGTGACAAATTGGAAGACTTTTTCTAGTAGAACGCACTTAGACTGTCTTTACGTTCAAAAATACACTTGCCTCACAAATTAACCCATTTTGAAGTTTTTTGCTCTAGGTAGGTTGATCAGGATTACTTTAACTGGTGTCTTGGTGATATCCGCTTTTTTTAAAAATTTGACCTTCACAAGTTCTCTGTTAATGAAAAGAAAAGTGAAATTTCTTATTTAAAGGATTGCGTGTCTCAAAGAGTGTTTTCACAATAACTTTAGTAGTATAAAAAATACCTTTTGGAAAGTGACCAGCATTTTGTTGACTATAAAGATACTATTGATTATTTATTTGACAAGACAATAATAAATAAATAATATGTGGCTCATTTTCTCCGCTCTAAGTAAGTAAGTAGTCACCTCCTCTCTAATCTCTGTCATCTGATTTAATCCATCCAGCCGTTAACACAAAAGGTAAAAGAGAAATGAATAATGAGTTTACCTTTTTTTGTAGCCGGATCACATGGTTGAAAATGGTCATGTGACATTCTTTGGGTCTAGGTCACTAAACGTAGGTGATTGCATTCTGATTGGTCCTATGGTTTTTCAGTTAGCACGGAGGTCATTTTATGGCCTATTGTTGTTGTTGTCGTTGTTCTGTCTATTAGGACGATAATATACCAGTTAGTTCACTCCAAGGTTTTAGCATTCGGTTGGGTCAACAATCACAATATACCTTTTGCGGAACATTTTTCGTTACGCCCACAATATATATATATATATATATATCGCATATGCCTGAAGTGATTACTTTGTCATTCAAATGCGAACTTGTCACAAATAAACCCTGGCTACTGTCTGATAATCACTATAATGCATGTGACTGTACCAATTGTTATTTGTTTTCGCATTGTAGACGGTGACCTTGATACCAATTAGCGGAAATGTAACAGCCAATAAAAACAAAGATTGACGAAGTTGATCCATAAGGTTGTGGTATTAAATCAAGTAAATACAAAACAGCGAAGAATAGAATGATAAATTGTGATGCCATTTTAGCTCTAAAGTTAAAATATTACGGGTTACGAATATAACCTAGAGATTTGCAAATTTTTGAAGGTTAAGAGTAAATTTCTAAGAAAAAAAATATTCACAAATAACATACACTAACAACATAATTTTTACTAATGTATTGTAACTAACTTATCAGGTAAACGAACGTTTTGTATGTTTGTCAGCGAATTCTTCTCCTTACACTATCTCTGGATCAGTCAGCCATAGCTCTACGAAACATTATCAAGGCGCGGCGCCTACAAACAAAATATAATGGTTTTTGATCCTGACAAACAACTATCGGATCACTTACTGTGTCTCATCGTTCTCGGTGGATTTGGCGACTAGAAGTCATGAGAACACTGTTTTAGCATCTGATAGACTGAGCATCCTAATGTTCTCATAATCAATGATCTAAGGGATGCTGATTCCGCGTGCATAAAAGAAATTATACCCTTCCGTAATTCCTTTTCAGTGATTCATCCATTTTGCCTTTAGTTACACATTGAGTCTCAAGATTACTACATTTAGAAGATGAGTTTTCAGGTAGCCGAAGGTGTATTATTATTATTCCGTTGGGTTCCGTAGGGCTTCAACGGCACACCTCCATTCTACCATGTTCTCTGCAGTCCTCGTTATCTGACTGAAAGAGTGCCCATTGGGTTCCCATTTCCTCCTCCATCATATCAACCTGGGATACACACGCAACTTGTCGTTTCCCATTTGGGAATCGAACCTTGGGTCACATGCGTGGTTGGCGCGCGTTCAGTCACAAAACCATCGATTCAGTGCCATCAAATTAATTAGGTTTTATGCTGTGAACTCTTTTCAAATTACCTTTTTGCTGTTACTTTAGTTTCTCTTGTTCTCAGTGATGTGTTGTTTATTCCACCTTTTATTTGTGTGTGCGTGTTTATGCTTCACCTTTGCAGAAGTCGCTCGAACTCGGTTACGTGAAGATAGTGGCAGATATCATGGATTTTTTCGTACTCTATACACAGTGGGTAAAGAAGAAGGCATTGGTGGTTTGTATCGTGGTATGGCAACGCACTATATTCGTCAGGTACCTAATTCTTGTATTATGATTGGGACTTATGAATTTGTTGTTTTTCTACTACAATCTTGGGATTTAACTAAAATTACCAAGAATTAATTAGTAGTATGTATTGCCTTTGTCTTCTTTCTTTGTTTTTTTTGTGTTACTGTCCTTTTCTTTTGATTCCCACCTATATATAATATGTACACCAGAACTAATATATGTAGTCCTGAGTTGCCCTCGATTCCACTTGTGTCACAAGCATTACTTTTTGCATTCTAGTGAATGCGATGATTACCATTTTCTATCATTATTATGATTGTGAATTTCATTCTCTTCCCTTCCTTTTTATTATCCTATAAATTATTTATGTATTGTGGTGGTCGTATAAGAGAATTGGAGGAAGATGAGCTTTAAGAAAAGTGGGGCGGGGGTGGGGGCTGACACAGGCATTCGAAAATCTCCTAGATCCTTTTTTATTTCCTGTAAAATTGTTCGAAAATTATTCCCAGGTTCCTTTTTCCTTCTTTGTAACTACCTATTTTCATTATTATTTTCACTGTGATGAAATAATATGGCACTTTTTGATTCCTCTTTTATATATATATATATATATATATATATATATATATGCATACAATAATATTAGTCGACACAATTTGTGTACCTGTGCTTGCATGTGTGTATGTTTGTGTATGTGCTTCCGGTAATGCCTAGATAGATGTATGCTGAACATGTAAGCATTACACGATTGTGTTGAGCAGACTTCAAATATTTTTTGCCTATTGTTCATTGTTAGCAGCAAACAATGTATTATTATTATTATTATTCCTAGTCTGTTCATCTTAAAAACAGTATTATTGTGTACATAATATTCCCAGACCTTAGTTTTATTGTTATTATTATTATTGTCACCCATCTGATTATTATTGTTATTACTAATATTACTGTTATTATTATTATTACTAATATTAGTATTAGTATCAATTGTATATGTATAATGTACACTCTATCAGTCGTGAAACTTTCAGAGAAACTGTGAAATTTGTCAAACCACAGAATCCAATCCCCATTGTCTCCTCAGTTCATTTTCTCCCTGTGTCTGTGCGCGTCTACAACAGCAAGCGATGATTTTGTGTCTTATTGATTACATTTATTACACATCATTAATTGTGGAGTGTCAAAGAGTGAATGTGTATGTATGCCACTGGAAAGCGCATCATCATCGCATTCTGAAGTAATTCCGAGACCCCCTGCAATTTGATCCTGCATAAAACCTGAAGTGTGTGTGTGTATGTGAGGAATCATCTGTTCACCCAACACATTTTGTGGTGGAATGTATAAACTCGCGTGTGTGTTTTCTTATGCATTTTGTGAATAAGACAATGCAATCTTTTTGAAGGCAGGCAGGCACATTTACACTACTCACTTCATTTGTTTCAGTGAACTCTAACCTCATTTTTGTTTGTTTTCTGTTTGTTTTTTTCTGTTTACTACTTTTCTTTTTGATTATCAGGTGTTGTTTGTATAACAAATATCTAAGATTAGTGTTTAGCTTTCTTCACTTTTAACTCCTCCTTTCCTGTCGTAAGTCGACATCCTCTACGGTGTGTTTATCGGAACCAGGACTTTCTGCGCCTTGTTTGTTTCAAGGCTGTTCTGATTTATATATATATATATATATATATATATACATGCATTTTGATTGTCTTTTGTAATATTACTTACTACTGTGCTCGAAGAAAAGGAGATTAGTAATTGAGATGTTCCGATGTTTTGTACCATTACAATTATCACAATACCACCTGTCATATTTTTAATCCTACAGTATCTTTATTTTTATTTACCGCTATTGTTACTGTTATCACTATTATTATTATTATTATTACTGCAGTTACCTATTTTGTAGATTAAAAGATTTGACCTTTTTAATATGGGGTGTTATTTATTTTTTACTATTGGACATGGAAAGAAACTAGTTATTTTTTTAAATAATATTTAGTTTTGAAGAAAGTTCGACAAAAGTTTTTGGTACAATGACCTATAGCAGAATATTAGTTCAAGTTTTATGGATGCGTGCTGCTGAGTAGAGTCAAACCCGAATCAGGAGGAGAACAGCTGTCCAGTTCTCCTTGGTTTTCATTGGTTCTCTAACTCTAACGTCACTTGATGATCCAAGTAGTAATCGGTTAGATGTCTACAAAGAAAGCATTTGTGAAAGAATTATTTACCCATCAGCATATTGGAGATGTGTTTTTGTATTGTTAATGCGCGCAGTGAACTTTTTCAGCCATTCTTGGTCTTGCGTGTGATTATCCCTCCGCGCCTATATCAATCTGGGCAGCTGATAAGCACGGTTCATAGCCCCTGACACGTAAGAAATGTGTTATCTGCCTAACTGAGTTTTAATAATTACAATAATTAATAATGCGTGTATACCCAACTACAGCGAGGTTCAGTGAGGTTCGTTGCAAGGGATCTGCTCATTGTCCAGGATCTTCAAATAATATAATAATCGATTGTATATCATCTAAGGCAGTATTACTCCATCCGAAGCTTGATCCAGTACTACTCCACAATGTTCTTCCTCCATTCCCTTTGGAAATTCCATAGCGGTAAACAGAAAGTTATTTGAAATTGTGCGAGAGTATAGATTGTGTCTTATTGTGGTAGTTAGATTATTAAAACAATATGAAATGGAGTAAAAACACTGCCTTCTGATGGATAGAAAATTTAGGCAGCCCAGTGACTCAATCAGCCTGCCGTCGACAATGATACTGTATGTCTCATTCTAGATATGATGGAGAAGATTTGTAGCTCAGGTGGATGATTTTGATGTGGTTGTGTTTCTCTGAGCTGGATAGTTAATTTGCGAAGCTTTCATCGCCCTACTAGGCGACATCTTCAGCGAATACTTCAATTTGAAGTGAGCTTTTAGATTTCTCCACGAGTTTGTTAATCATCTTTCCTGGTGACCTTGGACGTGATTGGTTGTTTTTGTGTGTTTTCACACCTTCTAGGCTACTTGCATTGGAACTGATTGTTTCTTTGACTTGAACTTTGACCCTTTGTGTGTGAGGTTTCTTTCTTATCGGTTGATATATTTTGTCTATCTCGATGTGTCTATTGATTGATGATTCACTGGAATGCCAGGCTTCTAAAAATTCTCTAGCATTCTTGTTGTTTCCTCTGTCTAATATTTGAACGTTGTCCCAGTTGAATTGATGTCCGTGGTTGTCTGTATGTAGTGATATGAGGGAGTGGATATCATGTCTTTTGACGGCTAGCTTATGTTCGTGGATATGAAGACGAAGGGGACGTCCACTTTGGCCAATGTAGTGTTTTTCACAGTTGTTACAATTTATTTTGTAGATAATATTGGTTTTATCTTCTTTCTTTGTTGAGTCTTTTGGTTGACATAGAACTGAGTGAAGTGATTTTGTTGGTTTGTGTGCGACGTCAATTTCTAAAGGTTAAAGGAGTCTTACGAGATGTCCTTTATATATGGTAGGGCGATTTTCTTTAGTCCTTCCTTTGGGGCCTTTGATTTGATAGGTTGACTTGAAGGTAGATATCTTTTGATGAAGTTCCGTGGATATCCATTCTTTTGGAAGACGTCCATGAGATATCTTTCTTCAATTTTCCTTAAGGTAGGGGTGTTGCAATGAGTCCTGGCCCTCTTGAGTAGAGTTTGTATATAACTCCTTTTGTGTGTTATTGGATTGTTGCTGTTGTAATTCAGTATTTGGTCTACGTGAGTTGATTTTCTATAAACTTGAGTTTCTAATTCCCCTGTAGTTGTTCACTTGACTAAGACATCCAAAAATGGGATTTTGTTCTCGGATTCCTCTTCTCTTGTGATTTTGATGTCGTTGAAGGCGTTGTTTATTAAGTTGTGAGTTTTATCTAACTCGTTTCTTTTGATGATTACAAATGTGTCGTCTACGTAACGTATCCAAATCTTGGGTTTGATCTTTGGTACGATTATGTTTTCGAGCCTTTGCATCACTGCTTCTGCAATCAAACCTGATATTAGGCTAAGTTCCTTGACATCTATGCCTTACAACGTACTTCCAATTCAACGGCCAAATATATGAACAAGTCAAAGGAACACCCATGGGATCGCCAATATCAGTTCGGAAGAAGTAGGGGCTGAGTTCTATCAAAAGCTGTCTAGTTTGCTGCTAAAAGCAAAACTTGCAGATGTAGTCGTTTTATCAGGCGACCCCAGTATTCTATTAGGGAAGTCATACCATTCTGAGCAGTATATACTGGCGGCATCTACTGGGTTTCATACTTACGAACCAACAATGGTGGTCGTCTTTTACAGTTCTGTTCGGATAATCATCCGTTGCTGACCAACACTAATTTCAAACTCAGAGAGACAATGCTTAACTTGGCCACCTCCACCATCAGATAGCCATAAGCTAGTGTTGGTGAGGGTTGGTAGAAGACTGCCGCTCCTTCTGGAATACCTGCGTAGAAATCCGGTCACTTCCTGCTCCGTGCACGTTTAGGCTTACTACTGAACGGACATATATAACAGACAGCAATGAAGCAGTTATGCTTCTAACTTGGTCGAGACACCTAGTCCTTATTTAAGGGAAAAATAGCTAAACGCGTGTCTGAGATCGACAGCATAACTCATCCTGGGGAAGCCTGACATAATATCCAGTTAGCTGTAGAAACATTGGTAGAGTCTGTTGATAACTTTAAACGGAAGGCTAGAAATCGGCAGTGGATTTCTGCCATTTCATGTGAACTGACGCTAGAAGACTGACTCCAATTATGATGAGGAGCGGAAGCTGATCAAACACAAACTGACAGAAGTCTTTGCAAAGGTCATGCACAATGGTGGGCGAAAAAAGGCATCGGCGATGGGAAACACCAGCCAACTGTTTAGTCTTTTAGGGGAACAGGTTGCCAAGGGTAAATGATAAGTGAGACAATCTTCGAGAAAAATTGGCTTCTTAATTAGCTTTCAGGATAGGAGACTGAAGTGTTGGAAGGGACATTTCGAGGAATAACTTAACTGGCTTGTAGCCACGCTCAACTTGCCCACCATCTGATACCTACCTGAACAGGATGTAGATATCATTGCTACTATATATAGCTGA